AAAAAAAGACAGAAATCTTAATGGGCCATTTTAAATCTTAAAATTGGGAGTGGGCTACAGTCTATATTCCTATTAATAAAGCCTAATAAAGTTAATGGACAATACAACTAGGACCGAGTAAGGATGCAACTTAATGGGCTAAACCGACGTAAACTTGTTCTACTCTCTTGATAATCAAACTATGGGCCCTACTACGAGCCCAGTACTGCTAACTACATTTTCTTCAACGATTGAACCATTTGGATTTAGCTGACCTCTGTACATATATATATTTTTTAATAATCTGAATTTGATGGAGCCTTATAGCTATTATGAAATTGAACTAGCAACCAACTAAAAAAGGTTAACACCAAATATGCAATTGTATTCAGATAATATCATAGTAATTATATAGTCAAGGAAGCTTTGTTGGATACAAATTTTTGAATGAGGCACTATCATATCATATTTATTTAATAAAACTGTATACTTATATTATTAAAATATCATATTCACTTATTAAACATTCCCGCGTACAGAATCATAAATATTTTTAGACGAAGTCTATGCGCTAAAACTATAATTATGTTTTAAGTGGTGGAAGTCAAAATCATCTACCAGGCGTTAAACTTACATCACAATATTATTACAGCATGAACAAATCGTAAACATGCATGAGATGAGATATTGTTGATAAAAATATTATTAAACCATTAGGTCAATTTTGCAAGTGCTCTAACATAATCTATATATTTTGTAAATTAAGTCCAGATTTTTAAATGGTCAAATTATTAAAATAGGTCCGCTAAGAATGTCTAATTTGGAATTAGTCAAATATGCAGGCTTTTGTGGTTAATTACGAATTACGATCATCAGAAAGTTAAAATCCACACAAAGTGACTGTTGTGGAGATTATTTGACTTTGAAAGCCGAAAACATTATTCAACAACGAGTAAGAAATAATGTATTATTAGATTTTATTCTCACCAATATATATATTCAACGAAGTCAATTTTGTATTTTGCTCTAATAGTTATCAACAAAGTCAAAGTAAAGTGCCTTCCTAATGTTGAATTATTCAAACTTCTGAGTGGGACTAATGCGACCGAAAGTTTCAGCATCAAAAAACCTCTTGGAGAAGTAATTGATAAGATTCCACAATCACAAATGCTAGTGTTGTAGTTGTGCTATAATTCTTATATGTTTATTAGATAAAAACATTTTCTCTTGTATTATATATATATATATATAAGTGAGTTCAATTTTCCAATTGATTTCAGCTACTTTATGCGTTTACTAAAAATGCCAATTTGTTTTCCCATTTCATGGTAGCCTCACAATTTAAAATTTTGCCATGCAAGAATTAAGCACTAGATACCAATCAAATACTATCCACTTTATTATTCTTTGTATGGTGTTATTGGCCCCGCGTTATTATTATTCTACAATTTTCCCGAATAACCAAAGTGCATTAGATACCATGTTTTACAAGAATTGACAAATTAATGCAATAGTCCAAGAACTTCACCTCCCCTTCCATTAAAGTACTATTATTATTATTTATTTATATATATATATAAAGCAAATAATCTTCTAAATTCTCAAATTTGCATTTTGATTTAATAATAACTACTAATACTACTGTTAATTAAATCAACTGTTAGACAAATATAATTTTCAACAAATATACGTACTCCAAATTGATATTTCATACTCGAAAAATAAAATAATAAAAGTATAATATTTTATAATATAGATATATATTTTTTCTTATAAAAATATACCAGATTCTTTCAAACACATTAAAAAAATTAAAGGAAAACACTATGATTATATAGATTATCATTCATTCCTCATACCCACGAAACACCCGAATCCACACGAAAACCCTCTTTTGTTGCCTTCCCAATAAATTTGTGAAAAGAATAGAATAGATTAGATACCCTCTTTTACTTTTGTATTAGAGCATCTACAATGCTTTGGGTTCAATCCCAAAAAATTACATGCCACATCAGAAATAGACCCGGTCCAAAAAAATATATTCTCCAATGCAAATAAAAATAGATTGGGTCCTGCTGATGTGGCAGCCAGAAAAAGAGACCCGGTCTCTCCTTAAGTCCATTTTAGACCCAAGTAGAGACCTAGTCTCTTTGCATTGGAGTGAATTTTATTAATTTTACACAATTTTATCCACGTCATCTAAGACTTGGGTTTATTTACTTGCCACATAGGCAAGACTAGACCTAATCATTGAAGATGCTCTTAGGGAAAATTTGTGGGACACAAACAAGTCATGGAAAAGGTCTCATCTCCTTCAACCAACAATTAATCAGAATCAATTTCATTTAGCTTAATTATTTATTTTTAACTCAGATTAGCGATCATAAACCCCGCATTATAGCAACAAGAATATTGCTCTTCTGCCTAACCTTTCCACCCTCCTTTTGAACAAATAATAAAAAAAAAATTATCTCTAATCCATTTTGCGTGGCATCATAAAGTTGTTTGGTGAAATATTATTAAAAAATATACATCAGATCATCGTAATAAAATTATTTCAAATGTTTATTGTATTAACCTTTACATTTAATCATTTATAAATAAATAATTTGACCAATATGTGTGCATTCCTTTTCAAATAATTTGAAATACAAAAAGTTTTGTATACTACTTTAAGTGTATATGTTAATACAACGTAAAATGACATTGTTACACCGATATGGTGTAAAACAATCAAATATACATCAATCTCTTACTAAAAACATAAGATTTAAAAACCAAAAATATAAATCGGTTAAATAATTATAACAACTATTTTTATTTTCTTGGACAAATGCAATATAAATCTCGCATGATTTGTCAAATTGTAAAATTCTGCAAATTGCAAATTAAATCCACGGTTTTGACTAAAGAACCCATGTTTTTATATGAAAAAGACGTTTTTATATGATAGGAGTATATATAATACAGAACAGTCGCTGTTTGGGCTCAACTCAGATGATAAAGAATAATAGAGATAGAAAAAAAAAACAAAAAACAAATCGGAGCAGTTACTAGATGTGACTGTATCTACATACTACCAATGATTAGTCAATTGACCTCAAAAAACTTGCAAGTTAAAAACTCAGAATGCAAATGTTAATAAAATTTCATCAGTAATTAGCTAAGTTGCATATAACAGAGAACAAAAGAACTGTTTGTATTCAATTGAATCATAAATGAGAATTGATTGGCACTCCATTGCTTCCTTAAAGTTTCTTATTGGATTCTAATAAAGTAAAGCACTTTTGCAAAATTTCTGCCACACCACTTTAACCAGTTTTCAGCTCAACTAAAAGAAAAATACTTACCAATTTTTGGTTCTTAGCCACTGGTCATACATCTTTAATAAACCAATTCCTATAAATGCAGTAAGTGGAAGCAATCACTTCCTGAAAAGGGCATTTGGGTAGTTTTTGAATTTTGAAAATTGGATTAAAAAGCCCCATGGAAGATTAAGTCAAATTAACCCAAATCAGGTTGCAGCCCCTCAAAGTACAAATGGGAACAAAATCATCAAGAATTAAGCATTATCAAGGCATGAACTTCAACCGAAACTAAGGCCAAAAATAGAAAAAAAAAAACGATGACAATTAAAAACTAAATACAATTTACATCGTAGATGAGTTGTTCTACGTGCCACAAAACAAACCACTGCAAAAATGGAAACTTGCTTGGGTTGTATAAAGCAAAGCATAATTAAGCAGTAGCGAATAAAAAAAAAAAACTAAACAATTAACCAACCTTTTTCAAAAACCCGTTGCTTAGGTCCCCAATATTTCTTCATCCCCAAACGCTCCATATCCTCTCCCCCAGAAAACTCACAAATCTCCTAACCGAACCCTTCTCCATCTCCTCATCTTCCTCCTCCGCATCAAAATCCTCATCTCCGCTTCCAGTCTTGCCGGCGCCGCCGTCCGCCGCCGCGCTTGACTCCCCGAAATTGAAGTCCGCCACAGCCGCGGCCGTCTCAGGGCTCTTCGGCTCATCCAATAGTCCGGCGCCACTAACACTGACCTTGACATTTTTGCCCTTCTTCCTCTCCTTCCGGTTCTTCTCCTTCTTGCTTCCCTTCAGGAGGCTCTCCTCGAAGGCGTCGATTATCTCGTGTATGAGCTGGCGGTTGGGAGACGAGTCCCACCTCACCCAGTAGCTCATGTAGCACCGGAAGCAGTTGCAGCTGAAGCACGGCGGGTGGTCGTCGCCGCCCTTGGAGCCGCCGCGTGCGGCGGAGGCGGAGGCGGAGGCGGAGGCGGAGGCTTTCTGGCCTCCCTTCCGGCTGCTGCTGGAGAGACTGGCGGAGGAGCAGGATACGAGGTAGGCGAGGACTTCCCTGTCCGCCGGAGACAGGGCGGCGGCGAGGGCCAAAATCGCCGCCGGAAGGAAGGAGAGGAGGTGCTCCGACACGACCGACGGCGTCGGGTGGACCGTACTCTTCCGATAGAGTTTCTTCATAGTCTGAATGGTTTGAAATTTCTAGAGAGAGAAATGGAAATGGAGAAGATAGAGAGAGAGAGCTGCGAAATGTTGTTTTTAGGTTTTAGTGATGAGAGAGAGAGAGAGAGGTATTTTTCTTTTGATGGTTGGGCTTTTTAGAAATGTCAAATGGGTCATCGGTGACGTGTATCGGGCTTTGGTTAGGGGCAGTGATCCAGTGCGACGCAGGCGCCTGGGAAGGAGCACTGGCGAGCAACGCTGTTGGGAAAGGATGGAATTTGATTGGTGGTGGAGGACCGCAAGTAGGCAATATGATTGTGGACCCCCGCAGCGAATCTGTTCCTCATATCTTCTTTTTCAGAAATTATCAGTGTCTGGTTCGGCGCAACATATCTACATATTTCTAGGAATGCGTCAAGATTGGGCCTCACTCGTGTAAGTGTAACCAAAATTGGGCCCGATTAGCAAGGCCCAGAATATAGGTTCAGCCTTGCCCACTCGTAGTTATTGAGTTGAGCATCTCTAATATGACCATTAATTTATGAGAAAATTACTCCTTACACCATAAATTTCAGTTTTTATTACAAGATTAAACAACTATATAAATATTAGCAATTCTACCTAAAATCATGTTTTTATTTGTAGACATACCAGAAATTAATGTAAGCATTAATTACATATTTTAAAGAAACCTATCAGTTTCTCTCCCCCAAATCACGCCTCTTTCTCCTTATCTCTCTTCTTCGTCTCTCTCTTCCTCTCCCTCTATCTTCTTTTCACCGCCTCATCTCTCTCTCCCTCTGTCAACGACCCATTATCCTCTCCCCCTCCTTCTCTCTTGTTTTTTCACTTGTGATCTGTGCAATCATTGAAATTGACCGATTTTTGTAGACCCAACGATGTACAACGGAATAAGTTTGCAGACCCATCGGGGCTCCAACACCAGCGGCCACGTTCAGGCGAATGTCTTCACTGTGAAGGCGAGGGCGAATAGAGTCGTCACCGTTCCGAGCAAGGATTTCAAATCGGGGCAAGGGGCCGCGGGCGTGATCCGGGGGCCCAACAAGGACATACTGGAGGACGAACGCAAGAAGCAGATATATCGAAATTTTTGATTATGTTAAGTATATGTTACGTATATAACTTGATTATGTTATGTATATGTGCATGAATGATATACTTACAGTTGTTTTCAAGACTGTGTATATGCGATGTTTACATATTAAGTATATGACACGAATATATTATGTATATGTACATGAATAATATACTTACAATATCCCGAGTTTGCAACTCTGTAGTTGTTTTCAAAACTGTATATGCGATGTTTATATATTGTATATATTTTGCAGCATTAGTTCATCAAAATAGTTTGATTTCGACAAAGAAAAAAAAATCATTTTTAACCAGGAAATTTACTGTAAATATACAGAAAAACATACCGGGTTTGTTTTGTATATATCACATTAAACCAGAAAATATCAAATAAACATACAGAAAAAAAAAGAGATGCTAATAACACGAAAAATAAGTAAAAGAGAATTTCAAAAACAAAAATTACCAGGTATAATTCGTATATTTTACGGGCTTATATCATCAAGATATAATGATATTCCATCGTGTTGCTTTATGTATCGTTAAAAGGTGATAATGTTTGAAATTCAATATATAGATATATATATATATATATATATATAGATATATGAATTTTGAATTGAACAACATCCTAAATATTAGGATATACACTTACCATATATTTGTCCTTTTTCTTTTAATGCGAAAACTAAATCCTATTATGTCCGCAAATTAAGGAAGGATGATCTTTTTAATTTTGGTAACCGATATGTTGCTTTATCACAAATAAATGTCATTCATTTGGTAATGATGCAATAAAAATTTATCTGCTCGTATGATTGCAATTAAACTCAATTCGCTGTGTAGATGTAAAATTTACCCTTAATTTATTGGGACAATTTTTTTACACCTTAATAAATACATGTATTTTCTTTTATACATTCTCTCATAAATTTTTTTTCTTTTCAACACACAACTTACGCATGCGATATCAAAATCTGATATCAAATGAACCGCATAATTAACAATTATGCGAGATATTGTCGCATATATACTAACACATACTCAAATCGGACAGATAAATAAATATTATGCAAAATACTTCAGCATATGGTTTAATCGCATATCCAAAACCACCGCATAATTTACCATATGCGACGGCATTTTGCATAGTCTGTTATCGCATATCCAAATCGAACGCTGCATATTTTATGATTATGAGACATGTTTCAGTGGTCGGGGAGGGCTTTATTGCATCGTTTAGGTGTGGGTGTAGTTGTTTGGTTTGCTTTTTCTTCTAGTTTTTTGGTTTAAATTCAGATGTGTCTAGTTTTAGTATCCTTTATAGAGTTGTTTGTCTTCTTTTTGGAGTTCTTTTATTTTGTGGTTGTTTGTACCTCCGTTGTAATTCCAAGTGGGGTGGATCCAGTCTTTGTGTTGGTTTTAGTGGTGGCAATTGACACCTCGAATGTACTCTATTTGAGTTTTTCAATTTTTAATATAATTAGCGTTTGACAAAAAAAATTGTTAATTTCGTAATCAATACAAATTAGTACGACACCCGTAAACTACACGGGTGTATGAAAAACAATTTGAACAAAAAAAGTGAAGGAGTATAGGTATTGTAAATATATACAAAATAAATAAATAGAAATTTCATAAAACAAAAACTACAATATATTGGTATTTTTATTGTAAGTATATAATTTTAAGATATAATTTTAGTTCATCATTACACAAACAAAGACATAGGGTAAAAGAATGGGATAAAATTTGTCATCTTGGAAAAAAAAAATAATACGCTTCTTGGACTTTGAAATGCATGACAGTTCGTGTATTAAATCTAATTCCCATGTCAAACATTTGCATTATTAAATAGATTTATCTGTTGAGTTTTCAATAGGGATGCATATATTGATGATATGGCTAATTTTTGGATCATGTACTTACCTAGTAGGACATGGAATTTAAAATGAAAAAATGAAATAAGAAAAGAAAAATTTGTGTGATCTTTAAAATAATGTCAAATTTGGTAATGAAAGGGAGATGTATTGTGCAAAAATTATTTATGGCATATTTCAAGCCAATTTTGTTTTTAAAATTTTTATTCGAATATAAATACAAAGCATTATATTATGACACGTAAGATTTTCAAAGCGTGCTAGTGGCATATTTCAAGTCAATTTTGTTTTTAAAATTTTTATCCAAACCTAAATACAAAGCATTATATTGTGACACGTAAGATTTCCAAAGCGTGCGAGTCTACCACATAGACTCAACATATTTTGAATTTATATGTAGGAGGGATTATGAAGATGAATGTGATATTTAACTCAAAACCAGTTTGAAAAATAGCGCCATTAATTAATTTTTTGAATGCAAGAAATTAGTTTAAATTAGGTATAAATTAACTTTTTGAATTAGAAAAGTTATTTTTTTTTTAAAAAAAAAGTTGAATATAAAAAACCTTTTGAAAATATATAATTGAAATTTTATTATTTATCCAATACTTTTGCACAATCAACCCATTCAATCAATTTAGCAGTCACATAATTCAACCAAGTCAAATTTGTTAATCAATCCATTCAGTCAATTTAGCATAATCACATAATTCAACGTAAGTAGTAAAATTTTTAATTCTATCAGTTATATAAATATCTAGCTACAGGTCAAATGTTCAACCAACTACTCAAATTTGTTATCTAGCTACAGTTATATAAAGAATCAATGTCTCATAACTAACACAATGTTTGAATATAAATATATCCATTCAAAAACGAGTTTTTTTGGTTAACTAAGATTCATTTTGAAAAATGTGTTATGGTTAGGTGTTAGTAGAATTTTAAATTTATATTAACATAATATTTAATATAAAATAATTAAAGTTGATTTAATGTAAAGTAAGATAGATGATGTGAAGTGGTACTTAGTAAAAAATATATGAGTGAATGAATAATGAATCAAAGTTGTTATAATGTATAAAAATAATTGACTGATATTATTTAATTATATTGATAATATTGAAGATAGTGAGGTTGAGTTAAAATTGAGTTAGATTTGAAGTATGAATTAAATAAAGATTGAGAAATTATGTATACAAACATTCCCTAATTTTACATTCCAAAATCGATTGGTGATAAGATGAGTAACTCACTAAGCTTACACAATAGACTCAGTTTTCCTATATAATCAATGCAGGACAATGTACAAGTAATGTTTCAAAATCAATTAGTGATGAGATGAGTAGCTCACTAATTTTACACAATAAACTCATTTTTCCTATATAATCATAAATTTACAAGTAATATTTCAACACGCTATTTACTTAATCCTAGAACAAAGTACTTTAACCGTCCCATAAAGTCATCTCAGATCCTAGATCCTAAGATCCTAGAACAAGACTGGTACCACGAAGAATATCAAGAGAGAAATAATTTCTGTGTGTAATGCAAATACAAAGGACTCTCATATTTATAGAATCTAGGTTACAATATCTACAATAATAAACATATCCTCATACCATACAAAAATGATCTACTAACCGTACAAAAATGATTATTCTACCTAAATCCAGAGAAATATATATTCACAATAAAACATATACAATAAATATCCAACAAAAACTTATTAAATATTTAGATAATTTAAAACATTCCAATGCCTAAACAAGTGGTATAATAATTTATACATATCCAATATATATTTATATATGTATTTTATTTATATTAAAAATATTTTTAGAAAAAGGGAGAGTTCAAAACCATTTAAGGTCCAATGGTCTAATACTGAATAAGCAACAAACATACATACATAGGCCCTTGAAGGACTGATTCACCGGTTTCCCCCCCAAAATCTGCTAACACAATACCAAAAAATAAAAGAGTATTACAGCCTGTATGTCATAACAAGCTTAAAACAATACTAGTTGCTTGTGGAGCTGTGACATTTCTAGGTACCAAATTTGATATCTTTTACTTTTTTGGGCACCAAATTTTAAATCACTTTAGGTGGGCCCATCAAGATGAACTCTGAAGACGAGATTTTATCCATGATTCCAAATCACGTAGCTCTTCATTACTTATGGAGTGAGCCAAACCAGGATAAGCCTAAAGATTTTAAAATCCAAAGCAGCCAAAATTGAATAGCATGCCAATACCCAACTTCAATAATGTCAAAGGTAAAATGGAACTCGTGAAAGTTAGTTTAAAGAGGTGAAATTTAAAAATAGTACACACATACATAAATGCAGGACAGGCAGCAAGAATAGTCAAATAGATAATGCACATTTATGTGACTTTTTTGCATCTAGTATATATTTTAATAACACAACCACATAACAAAGGACAAGATACATAAATTAATAAAACAAGAATAATTGTGCAACCGATTTTGTTTCTTTATATTTTTTTTATTTTTTATTTTTAATGCGAAGCACATATATATATACTGCAAATATGAAGGTGGAGAGTTGAATTATTTTACCTTGAATTCACAGTTTATACCAGCTTTTTCAAGAAAGGGTGGTCCAGCTTGTCCAGCTTCGAAAAGTACGGTTCTGTCCGCCATCCCATGGGACCACAAGATAGGTGTCTGCAGAGACAATATCCTCAAATATATCACTTTCTAAATTTGTTTTATTTTATTTAATTCAATTATTAATTTTTTCTGCAAGAGGAAAGCTCAAAAGCAGTAAAGATGCATTCTCTAGGTTAGCAATAATAAAGTAAATGTACATTGAATAAAAGCAGAACATTTAGAAATAGGGCATAATCTGTAGTTGGTTTGAAAAAAATCGAGGAAAAATGCAAGTCTTTAATGCTCGAGTATATTCTGCAAGCATCCATACATCTTGACAAAAAATGAAAAATTAATGTTATCGTTTCTTATCAAAACAGGTACTGCATATAATTAAAACCTTGTGCAGGTGAGAAAGGGAATCTGTGACTTGAAAAGTTATAAACCAATACAAATATCTTTTAGATACAAGTCCGAGGCACAATTGAGAATGTGCGTCTGGGTTACTCATAATAAGAAGTGAACCTTTTTTGCATCTGCTGTAACTCGTTCCAAAATTGATGAACTAAAAGGAACCCATCCACTAAATACGGCACCTCCACCAAGGGTTTTTGGATACAACAAAACACTTGCCAATGTCAAGGCACCTGGCAAAACAGTTATTATTGTTACCAGAAAAATTAACAGAAATCGCATGCATTATTTAGTGCATTACATATTATATAAATGACTTTCGGAACACCAGAGAGAGAGAGAGAGAGAGAGAGAGAGAGAGAGAGACCTCCTTGACTGAACCCACACACAAAGACATTTTTGGGATTGGTTCCTGCAGTTATCTCTTTATCTATCATTGCATGGACATTTTGAACTGCTTTGAGTAAACCACTCTCATCGTTTGGAGAGTCCTGCAAGGTGAATAATTTTAAATTACTTTGAAATAACTCAATGGGTTTTCATGTCATTAGCAAGTCATGAAGTTGTGGAAGACCACTGCTGGTTTTTCAAATGATGTATGAACAAGTAAAAGGAGATTGCTAGTACAAGGTTGGAAAAAGAATCAACTTCATTAGAACAATAAAGCTATCAAATACACAGGATATCAAATTAAGATGCTCGAGTGTATTCCGTACGTCACTAAATAGATACACAAGTTGAAGGGGACTCGTTAGTCTTATTCCAATTCTATCTTGTTCAAACTTTTAGAGTTGCTTTTTTGTGCTAAAAAGAACAATTCATTAAACTCAGAAATGAAACTAAAACAAGAAATTATGCACAAATTTCAACTAAAAACAGACAAGAGAGACAGAACTCACAGCCGTCACCGGTATCTCATGAATGTCAAACCATGAAGGCATCACAGCACCATCTGGACAAAACCACAAATTAACAAATAACAAAAGTGAGACATTGAAGGGAACAGATTACTTGGCTGTTCATAATAAAACAAAACCCAAATCAAGCCTACAACAACAACAACAACAACATACCCAGTATATGCCCAACAGGTTGGGGTCTGGGGGGTCAGTTGTACGCAGACCTTACCCTTGTAATTATACAAGGAGGCTGTTTCCGTAGTGACCCAAGGTGTATTGCGCCGTTTGATATTTTTTTTTTCTAGAAACTTCACTAAAACATTAATTTCGGAAGACGCAACTCATTAAGAACTTAATTCATTTGGTGCACGATGGTTAAATACTAGTTGCTCGCTAGATTTTAAAATAATAAATAAATAAATAACAAGTAGACACTTATCAGTTCAAAGAGATCAGTGGCAAGGTATGAGGTGATTCTTAGCTTCAAGAGATGATCATAAATCAACAATCGAACTAAGGTCAATGTGTTGCAGGAATAGCAAAGTATGAAGATCTACAGTCCACCAGTTATTACCATGTTTTATTCATATTAAGAGGAAGAACAACATAACTTCAAGCTGTTCCACATTTTCTTTGAATGAACGCCAAAGTTTCTTTCCTATATCAAATAGTCTATATTGGAGGCCCCACATGGTGCTATGCATGATGGAAGGATTAAATTTCAAGAAGGATTTGAAGTCAAAATCTCAAATTGAGCATTTTGGGTTGATAGAATCATGGTGGCGAAATGTGTGCAACCATTGTTTATTCACGGCAACCTTAATCTAATCCAACTAATCTCAATGGAATACATTCCTTAATGGAGTTATTCAATGCAAAGGTATTTATATTCGTTTTGAACAACGCTTCTCTTCAACCCATTGATCAAGTTCTTCTTCTAGGGATTTTAAGTACAAATAAGTCCTGAAGTACAACAATTAAAATGATCAAAGATGCAATACAGATCCATATGTGAGACTTTTCGAAAATTGCATGAATTCCAACAAAGGTAGAAAATGAAACCTACTAGTAACACTAGTGATACTGCTATAATACTACAACAATAAATCAATAATGGTACACCGAAATTACTAATTGGATAGCCAATACAGTCCATAAAACTTGGATGAATTTCATAGTGGTAACAGCATGCATTTCACAACCACTTATCAGGTAATTCAATATCACAAGAAACCGCCAAACAAAAAAAA